TATTCGTGAGATTAATGTAATGTATTTTTTATGTTAAATTATATTAAAAATTTATCATATTTATCAACTCATTTATTGGATAAATTAAGAATAAATTTATTAACCCTACATAGCCTGTTCTTAATCTTTCTTGTTATTGCACTTTCAGCTGAAACCATGCACCACGATCACTTAATCTATATATGTATACTGTTTATACATATATAGATTAAGTATTTTTTAAATATTTTTTTATATTTATTTATAAGTTATATTTTATAACACGTTATATATAGCATTTATAACACATTATATGTACTAGAAAAATTCATTTCCCAGATAGATATTATAAATTATATATTATATTATGTCGTGGTGTTAATTTAAAATTGAGTAAGCATTGATTAAAATTAATTTTAAATTTGATTAAAATATTTTGTTAAATTTCATTAAAATATATCTTCACAATTTTTGTAAAATGTAATCATCTGAAATTAAATTATTTTAATAATATTCCAAGAAAAATTACCATTTGAACAACTATACACATATAAATATTGATTAATGATTCACATATTTAGATAACGTTTACTGGTAGGCGTAATTTTTATTTCAAATGTAATACTTTTACGTGGCAATGCTATTTACATTACCACCAGACCAAAGACAAAATATAAGATGATTATCTTAAAAAGTAAAAACTGAAAATGAATTTTTATGGTCTCTCTTTGATTGAATTCTGAAATTTTTAACGATTTAAAGAAAACTACTCTAGAAGGTTGAGTCAAAAAATTTTCAGAAAGATAAAAACTTAAATTCTATATCATAAGATAGAGGAGATAATTCTCTATATAAAAAATGAGAGAAATTTAAAAATTTCTCAATTCTCCTTAAAGTTATGGAATTTTTAAATGAGCCTACACACTTTTAAACGCTAAAATTGGCTAAAAAGGGGTACCTCGCGATTTTCCCTATAACTCTAGAAATAATTATTCAAAAAATCTGCAATTTTTAAAGTTGGTTGAACACACTCTAAAGAATATAAATTTAAAATTTTGTAATTTTACTATTTTTTCGAACCGAGTTATAGACTTCGGAATTTTTGCTAACCCTGCTATAAAGCAGGGTCTGAGATTTACCACTCGGTAGGGGTTAAATGACCAAAAAGTGCTTTTCATATAGTACTGGTTAACCAAAGGGCAAATGACCTGGTTAAATGACCTGGTCATTTGACCAAAAACCAGAGGTTTTTCTTATAGTAGCGTAGGTACCTCCGGTAACCGGTTAAATGACCACAAACCACGTTCTTATAGTTAACTACAAATTTCCTTTTATTTGGTAAAAGAATTTAAAATTACTAACATTTGCTTATAAAGTTATAGTTAAGTTTGTATTATGACTTTTAAAACATTATGCACTTTTAAAACATATTTTAAAAATTTTTCATATTGATTGGTTTTTTAACTAAATTTTTTCTGTCCAACCTTTAACTACATATGTATTATTTAAAATTTTTTGATTTATTTATTATCGTAGTCGATAAACTTTAAAATTTTTAAATAATTTTTATTTCGTCTAAATTCAATTATCATTTTTTAAAGAATTAAATCCAGACCTTTAATATGTAATCAAACATTTGGAACCTTCTGAAAGAACAATGGAAATATTAATTTTTTGGAAATGAGAAACAGGGTGAAAAAATCTTATCACTTCCTTAAAACTAGGATATCACTCGAGCCTTGGGAGTTCAGTAGATCGGGGTTTGCCGGCGACAGGTTAAATGTAGGAGTTTGGCTAAAAATTCCTAAATAAAAATTTCTTCACATAGACAAAATTTTTTGATGTATAGGGTGGAGTAAATATGGTGCAGTAATGTATCAGGGGTGTGCCAGTTTTGCGTTTCGCCTTTCGCGGATTTTCGCGTTTTTTGGACTTTCGCGTTTCGCCTTTCGCGTGTCGCTTTTTCAAATTTACTTTCGCATTTCGTGTTTCGCTTTTTGCGCGAAACGCGAAAGTTTTATACACCCCTAAAGATGGTTAAGTTGGAGAAAAAATAAGGCCTGAATAAATTAAAAACCTCCAAAATTCTCAAAATTTTTGCCTGCGGCGCTGAAAAGGAAGAAATCTGGCTTCTTGTCTTACAAGATCCCCTTAATTTTCGTCTGCGGCGTTTAAGAAAAGATTTTTGGCTTAAGGATCTACCAAAATTCTCAAAATTCTCGCCTGCGGCGCTGAAAAAGGAAGATGTTTAGCATAAGGATCTTCCCAAATTCTCTGAAAAAGGAAGAAGTCTGGCTCCTTGGCCTTACAAAAATTCTCAAAATTTTCGTCTGCGGCGCTGAAAAAGGAAGAACCTTGCCATAGGTTTATCTCCCCCTATTCCGCAGATCCTCGATATGTTATGAATCCACCATCACTCAAATCCTCAATATTCTCCGGAATTTACCCAAATACTCCGGTGTCCCTCTTAATCCACCCAAATCCCAAAACGAAAATCCACCAAAATACCACTTCTACGGAAATGTTTTGGAAGCGAGGTAAAGACCTTAGTATATCCTAAAATATAGAATATAAAATAAAGGATGGAACCTGGCTTATGTCTGATATTTCCTCAAATCCCTTGATATACCGGATGCGCATCTAACTCCTAATGGGGATTGTAAGAGTCAGTTGAGGCTGTGATTTGCAACAAATCACTGAGTTGACAAATCTCTAGAGATTTCTTATCATATAGGAAAAATTTTAAGAATTTCGCGTTTCGCCTTTCGCGGATTTTCGCGTTTTTTGGACTTTCGCGTTTCGCGTCTCGCGTGTCGCTTTTTTAAATTTACTTTCGCGTTTCACTTTTTAAATTTAATTTCGCCTTTCGCGTTTCGCTTTTTAAAATCCGTTTCGGCACACCCCTGTAATGTATGAGTGCCTTCATTATATCAGCGTTTCAGACGAAAAATTAGGATAACTCAAATTCCCCAACTTTCGGGTACGAGATTCAATTTTAGGTGCCAATATCATGGATTCGACTATATCCAATGACGAAGATATTTTAAATTAAAAAAGAAAAATTTGTGAACAAAATATTTAGAGGTAAAAATGTATTTTTATTAAAATTGTTCATTTTTAATCACTTCTTTCCAAAAATTTTGTCGTAAAGTTTGAACATTTTGAGTAATTAGTACAAATTGAAAAACATTTAATTTCATGAAAGACCATCGAACGATAAGTATATTCATTTTCTATACTTCGATTAATTAAACGAAAACATTCATCCAATCTTTGAGCCCCTTCAATTAAACCCAATCTTCGTTGATTATATCGAAGTAAAATATTTGTGTATTTAACAGATTCATTATAAATTAATTCCTTTCCTTCAGCAGACATGCCTTCAGCACCTTTTTTTTAAATTTAAAGTTTATTTCAAGCTAGGTAATGAACACGGATTTTGGTATATCCAATTTAACGGATATATCCGTTTTTTCTCAAAATCGTCATCTTGACTAAAATTTTCATAATGTTCAAATAAATTTAAATTTGGGCTGAAAAGATATCGGGCTATTAAGAGGTATATAAGTGGAATTGGAGGGATTAAGAGGATTTGAATATATATCAGAGAATTGAGATGGGATATCGGCAGATTAAGAGATAATAACGGGGATCAGAGTATTAAGTTGATATATTGTAATCGAGGGATTGAAGAGATTTTTGTGATATCGGGAAGTTGAAAGGATAACGGAACATTTAAGCCATATCGGGGATTAATCACGAAATCCCTCAATAAAATCGCACTGTATCCGAAATCCCTCGTTATTCTTGCTCCCTAAATCCATCATAATGTCCCTTAAAGCCACACTTATATCCCCAAATGACCTTATATGTATTCCCAGTTTCCTTCATATCACGGATTTCGGCTGCGGATTAAATGAAAATGCGTGATAATGTTTCACAAATCTTGTAAAAATATTATATCGAGTTTTGTTCGAGTCGGGCAGATCTGAGCCATTTTGAAGGCTTGTTTTTCTCGATTCGACCGTACAAGTTTAAATTGAAGTGTTTACCTGATTTCGAAAAGATAATAGCTATTAACAAAGCAAATTCAACTTTCGTTAATGAAGCACGTTTAAAATGGGCAACAGATTTTGTAAATATAAAATCTGACCATTTAATTATTCTAAAAATGGAAAATAAAAAAAATTGTTTTTGAATTTTTCAGTTAAATATTAGAAAAATATTTACTTATCATCATTTAAGAATACAGGATTCTTCATAAAACTAAGAGCAGGCATAATATTATCTTTACGTTTCCAAGTTTCTGAGCCTAATTCCCAAGCTAGGTAGGTGCTTGTAAATGAAGAAAACAAATGATAAATGTGTCTTAGATGTGCAATCTATTATTTAAAAATAATCTTTAAAACTTGGCAGCAATCGAGGTGGTCTAATCAAGATTCGTAGGCGAAAGAAATTCAATTCTCTTTGTCACGGCCGAAAAAATAATGGACGAATATATCAATATCTGTCCGATTTAAAAAAAAAACTTTATCCATATCCGCATTTTTTTGCAAATTATTTCAACATTTTTGCATATTTTCAACAAAATTTTGTGATTTTTCATAAATTACCCAAATTTTAATACCAAATACATATAAAAATAGCTTATTCATTTTGGTTGCAAAAGATGAATTATACATGAAAGTAAGTTGAAATTTTCAAAGGACTTTTCCTTACTAACTACCGCAATTCAGAGGTGCGTCGGAATTCCGATTTCGGAAAAAATTTTCTTTTCCGATTTCCGACTTTTGAGCCAGTTCCGATTTACTTCTCTTTCGATTTCTGACACTGACTGTTCCGACACACCTCTGCCGTAATTGTTAATTCAGAGCTGGCCCAGGATTTAAATTAACCGAGGTAAGGAGTATTTGCTATTTGTAAGGAGTATTTTTTAAGGAGTATTTGCCGCAGCCACTGGTGAAAAAATTCGGAAAAGTTTGTCAATCCAGGCATTAACTTTCTTATTGAAATTACTTAAGTTACATAAAGTTTATATAAAACACCTGATCTGTCAAGGTCAATTTTATAAAAACAGGAATAGATTTAGCTATACCAACAATCAGAAGTCGGTCAACTAACAAATATTTATGATAACGATTGTTAAGCATTCCCTCGGCTTGCAATGAAGTTTCCCAACTTTTTACTTCATCAAGAGGTATTGGACTCGGATTCGGCTTTAAAACAAAATTTTTATTAAAAATTAAATTAAAATTTACCGAGAAATTACCAACTAAACGGAAAATATTAAAATCGGATAAAAGTATTTCTTCAAACAGTATAGGGCCTTTGAGGAATATATCATCCAAATCATTAAATGCATGCATAATACGTTTTTTGGCTTCGATGATTGGTAAAATTGAGTTGATTTGTTGTCGATCATTGATAGTTATGTCGACAATTGGGGGATTTTGAAGCTAAAAATAATGTTAAGAATTTGCTACCACATTAAATATCACCATTCCAAAATACCGATTTTAGATTGGAATCCCGATATCGCCCAACTCTAAATTAATCTTACTGTAATTCTGTTTTTCTGTTTTTCCATTGCTTCTAGGTTTATATCATGACGTAAATACAAAACATCTAAAATGCAAATTTTTTAAAATTATTTTTTAACAAACTCAAACTTTTCATTCCAACAAGAAGACATTTATCAAGTCTACATTTTTTACATTTTTCCAAATTTGTTTGGGATTTTCCGTCTTTATTCTCTTTTGACAATGGTTTTTGCCAACATATACATTTAAATTTGCATACTTCTCCGTTGTCAATATAACGTCTTTTGAAAAAAATTTCCAAGTAAATTTTATGAAGGAATACCTGAAAAAAGCCCCACAAGCCCTACATGTACAAACTCCAAAATGAAAACAAACATTTTCTTTTGACCCACAAACTTTGCATTGTTTAATGAAGTTTTTTTGCATTTTTTAATTAAAAATAAATTTTTAAATAAATTTAAATTTTTCTAGAAAAATTAAATTGATTATAATGTGCCAATGATTATTTATGTATATAATAGTTACTGATTAAATAAGGGTCACGTATAAATTTATTATTTTTGGTAGACTGTGGAGAAGAGGGGTGCTAGTTTTCAGTCTAGTTAAATCATACAATTATAACACGGCTAGTCATTGATCTCCTGGGTGCCGGAATTTTGGTCACCAAGTCAAAAAACGGAATATTGGACACTTTTTGACTTGGTGACCAAAATTCCAAAAAAGTTGGTGACCGAAGTTCCGAAAATCCTTGGTGACCAAAATTCCGGTGACCAAAATTCCGTACACCGATCTCCTCAACTGTCTAACTTTCGCACAAATATAACTTTCTATTTTGGATTCTCAGCATATCTCGAAGAAATAAAAATTAATTTGAATACAACCAGATGTATTTTCAGACAAAATACTAAAAAAATATAAATAGTTTAATCAAAAAATATCATCTAGTAAAAAGTTTCTACACAGAAAAATAAATTTTATTAACATAAAAGTGATAATAAATTAGTGTATATAAAATTTTAAAATAATTTTTTTAATTTTGTTAATTATAGAAATTTTTTTGGGAAAATAGTTTGTATATTGAATTTAAATTTTATGAATGATTTTGGTATAGCGTTTTAGTATTTAAAAAAAATTATCAGCTAAATAAACAAAAATTAAAGAGATACTCGAATGATTGAATTTAATCAATTATTAACGTCCATAAGTTTTTCTCTAATCTTTTTGGGAGTGAAAATTATGGGTATAATAAAGAAAATTTTATTTAAATTTAAAAAAAGTTAAATTAATTCAAAACAGCTATTTAAACACAAAAAATTTTAATTCAAAGTTTTTAATAATACCGTTGTTGGCGACCGGTTATTAACTCGTATTTCCGGTTTTCGGTTTTGAGGTTTAGTCAAATACCGGTTTTATTTTGGGGGAATTTTTAATAAAATCACTCATTTTCACAAAATTTCGGTTTTCTTAAATTTTCTAAAAAGCTAATTTTTGGCAAACAATTTCAAAAATTCCGGCTATAAAACTGGTCGCCAACAACCCTAGTATTTAATTAAAAAATTTCAATTAAACAGGAAAAGATAATTATAAGTGTTTTGAAGCTCGTACCAAAATTCATACTCGTACTCGTCCTGTTTATGAAACCTTTTCCCCATAATTTAAAATGAGGGGAAAATGTGTTGCGCCAAAAGAGGAAAGAATGACGACATGCTTAAGAGTAGGGTAAAAGATTTTTAAAAATAATTTTTAAAATAAATTTACCCATCCGGTGCTACCAGTAAAGCAGCTGGGCTATAGCTATTTCTCTCCTTTAGCTATTGCAAATGGTTATCCACCTCTAAAATATTCTCTTTTTCTATCTATATATTTAAATTATTGGCTTTTTTCTTTAAAGTGGTGAATGTGATTGAAAGATTTTAAACAAAATTATGATAACTAATTGGAATGAAAAATGTTAGTGAATGTCCAGAAGTTCGGATTCATTTTTATTTCAAGTATTGAACCAAATTTTCTGTATTCGGTAAAGACAATCTTCCCAAAGTGTCATGAAACCATCAAAAAGAAAAATTATCAATTTTTGTAAAAATGACAAAAGTTATAATCAAAAATCAGCCTCCAATTTGCCGTATCCTTATGCTATTAAAATATCACTTAGACACTTCTAGCACCCAAATGATTTCAAATTTTAAAATAATAAGTTTATTTAATTTTTAATGACAAAATTCAATTTTAGATGAGTCAATTTTACAAATGTCTTAAATAGTTCTTCGACTTTATTTCCTCAAGTTTAGTTTTACAAAAATCTTTCCCGAATTTAAAACACCTTGGCCAGTCAAATTAGGTTTTATCTAAAATAATTTTTAAATATTTTTATATTTTAATTCTCTCACTAATGTCTCAAAACATCTCTCCAATTCAAAAGAACGTAGTAAATTAACTAAAACCATTTTAATGTCCATCATTGCTAAACGCATTCCAATACAAATTCTAGGTCCTCCTCCAAATGGATAATAATGTTCTGTAAGTGTATTTATATTCTCATTTAATAACCATTTTTCCGGTTTAAATTCATCAGCATCTTCTCCCCAAACCTTTTTATCTCTATGTAAAGTGAATAAATCGGCAGCAACATATGTTCCTTTCTCTATTGTTATATCTCCAAGGGTTGTAGTCTCTTCACATCTTCTATTGACATCACTTAAAATTTTTGATTTTTTATTAGAGATGTGCAAACGATTTTTTTCTCAATCATCCAAGACCCAACCCCGCCCTCGAAAAATCAGAAAAAAAACTTGCTTTGCATATTTATCTAATTTCCAAAATTTGATTATAAATAATTAACAAACTCACCCGACTGGACATAATCTTAAAGTCTCTTTTAATACAGCATCCATATATTTTAATTTAGACAGTTGTTCATAATTAATTATTTCCCCATCTTCTAATCCACAAATTTCTTCAAATAAACGTTTTTGAACTTGTGGGTTAATAACTAAATTGTGTGCTATTAAACTTAAAGTATTTGCCGTTGTATCAAATCCAGCCAAAAGGAAGAGAACACTATTAAGTACCATTTCTTCTAAAGTATTACAACGTTCAAACTGAAGACAAAAATAAGTTTTGAAATTACTAATTAAAATAAAAATTTCAAATTCTTCTAGACAATTTTTGTCTATTAAGTTTATCGTTGCTAATTATCCACTGTTAAAATATACATGTCTTTAAAGATTTATTTCACGTTGACGGAAGATAATCCCGATAATTTCACTCAGTTGTGGCATTTAGGTAGTATGGACCATAAATTACAACCTTGCTATTTGTTAGAGCCGTCCGAGACTCTTGGTCTTGGAACCAAGACTTTTCTTAGTTTTTTTCGGTCTTGGTCTTGGGGTGTTTGTCTTGGTCTTGTCTTGGTTTTATTTTTTGGTCTTGGACCCTTTGATATAACTAATATCCTCTTAATCCACCAAAATCCTCTGAAATAATATATCTCATTGGTTTTCCACCTGGATAAATCCCAAAATTCTTTGAATTTTGCATAGATTTTTTGAAATTATAGGTGACTCCGCTGAAGTTGACTGTGATCGTGTCAAAATAAAAAAAAATAAACCAAAAATTTGACCTATGGGACCTAAAAATTGTCTCGAGTTTTGTATTATTTTTGGTCTTGAGTCTTGGAGTTTTGGTCTTGGTCTTGAGTCTTGGTCTTGGAAAAAATTTTGTCTTGGGTCTTGAGTCTTGGAAAAATTTCGGTCTCGGACAGCTCTACTATTTGTGTCACTTTGTAAGACGAGAGGAATATTTTGCACAAAAAAGATTCAAGTTATTATTTTTAAAAACAAATTACCTTTTCTTTTTTGTTATAAGTCCCATTACTTATTTTAAATTCAATTTCATTATTTTCGGCCTCTGATTCCAAAAAGAGGTCAATAAAATCTACCCATTTTTTATTATTTAAATTTTCTTCATTCTCTTCTTCTTCCCTTCCATTTTTCTTCATTTTCTCTTCTTTTCTTTGTTTAATAGCTTTAGTAATTTTATCTATCAAAATTATATTTGGATCTCCTCTATATTTTCCTGTTGCTCTAACGAAAGGTTCAAGTATATTTACTCCAATCCAGGGGAATATAAAAGAAATATAATCAAAAATAGTCGTGTTAAAATAAGCAAAAATATCTTCAGCTATTTGACAATATTCAGATTTAAATTGCTTAGAGTCTTTTTGTCCCATTGCGATACGAGCGATTATATCGAAAGCAAGTTCTACAAAATATCTGAAAAATAAATTTTATTTAACTTAGATTTTTAATTTTTAGCATATCCAATTATCCTCCCCCCCCCCTGCCACATTTTCCTTTTTCTGCTTCCTTCTGTTTTTCATTTAAGAAAAAGAATAAAGGCAAATAATGGCCAAGGAGGTCCTACCATCACTCTGATACTAAATATATTTTATGTAATATATAATCATATTATACATAACTTGATGATTTCAGGGATTCTAGTTGTGTTTAACAAACCAGTATAATACATATACCGTAAAATACAAATTTATGTCTGTGTAATCAGACATATATTTTATATTTCATTTAAAATGTTAAAATGATCCTAATTAATTTAATGCAGAATTTTTTTATATTTATTTCTTCAAGCATTCAAATTAAGGTCAAGTGAGTCTATGAAAGGCGCTAGAAATAACTTGAATGAAACATCTATATATATATAGGGACTAGGAAGGGCGGTAGGATGATAAATTCATAATGATAAAGCATAATAAAAGTGAAAGAAAATATAGGTTGGAAGGGCAACAATTTAATGTAAGGCGTACTTTGATCCGGATGGGCAAGGATGGAGAAAAGGAACTTTAGTTCCTTTGGGAAAGGATTTAATAAGGGGAGGAGATTGACAGATAAGGCCTTAGGATAAAACTAAGTGGAAAATAGTGAAAAGGGGATCAGTCGACTGTTCACCAGTCAGTTGGAAAGTAATCAATAGAGAAGTGAATAAACCGGCCGAAGAAGCTGAGAGCTTATTCATTAATCCTGCAGAAGAAGCCTAAGAGCTTATTAATCAGCGCATATTATCCCGGGCAAGTCGGTCTCGTAACCGACCAGCATTATACAAGCGCATAGAAAGGCCTACCCTCCGCTCCGCAATATACTCATCGGCATCGCCTCTCGGGACCCTTAACATCGCACGCAACCCGCCCAACATCCCAACACCATCCTGGCCCAGCACAAGCTTTACTGGTAGCCTGTGTCATAAGATTGTCTGTGTCATAAGATAGAAAGGAACGACTTTTATTCTTTTCCTTTTTTTTTCAAATAAAACATTTTTATTTATTCCGTCTGTCTTCCAAAATACTTTCCACAAAATATATATATATAGTTTTACACAAATATTTTTAAATATACATATAAATTAAAGTTGCAAATACCGGTTTTATTTAGGGAGAACTTTTTTTTAAATAAAATCGCTTATTTTCAATGTTGTTTTCGGGCTTCAAAATTTTCTAAGAACGGTTAATTTTCAAAAAAAAAATTTTTTTCAAAAACGCCAGCAACTCTAATAAAAACGTATAGGATATAATATATAAACATTACAATATATATTTTATTATTTTACAATATACTAAAATCATTGCTCAAAAAAGTTTTTATCAAACCATATTTCAAATGTTATAATCCTTTTTAAACAAACACAATATAATTTTTCGCTCACAAAATATTCGATTTTATATATATCTTTTACTTTTATTATTTAAATCAACGACTAATTAAACACTTATATAAATATTCTAGCATATACAAAATAGAAGAAAAAAAGAAACCCTAACTTTCCTATCACCATTTTGCGCCGCAGGCGAAAATTTTAAATTATCGATAAACGTGGGCAAATTTTTTAGCAGTTGGCTATTATTTCGGCTTTAAAATTACAAAATCAGAGGTCTTGCAAAATTCAAAAAAAATCACGAAACACCAAAAATAATACGAAACATAAGAAACAAATAATCGAAACGTTTCGTGTATGATGGTTGGTACCTCTGTAATGACTCAGTCAAAATCCAAATTTTTTTTGGAGTTTTAAAAAATACGATCTGGCATTTTCGTACTTCAGGCGCATTCAACTGTAAAAAAAAACGCCAGAACGCATTGCAAAAGAAAACAAAACGCTAAAAACTAAAGAAACGCAAAACTGTTTAGACCTAACAAAAATAAATCAAAAAGCAAAGCGCATCTTTTCTATCAATTATTTAAAACTGCTTTTATCTATATTCAAATAAAGGTAATAAATTTGCTTATATATGGCTTTCTACTGCCCAATAAACGAATTTTTTTTTACATTAAATTTTTCTTTTACTCAATGATTGTGTTAAAATCTATTGCCCTACAACAAATTTATTTTTAATTTTATTTGTTGGAGTCTTCAACTATTGCTCTAAAATCCATTGCTCTACTCAAAAAAAAAATTTTTTTTGTTTATTCTGTTATTTTTCCCCTAAATGATTCACTGTCCAACAATTTTGATTTTTTTTTATTATTTTTATAACTCTCTTCAAAATTTTCGCGTTCATTATAAAATTCCTCTTTTACAACATTTCCTAAATCTTCTTTAAAGAATTTTGAATGTATGAACCAAAATTTTTTTTTTTTTTTTACATCCAATCCAAAAGGGGTCAAAGGTTCAAAAAAAAGTTAAACCAAAAAGCAGGGGAAAGGGAAAAGAGCGGAAGTAAAGATAAACAATCACAATTTAAAAAAAAAGTGAAAAGATTGTTGGGAAAAGAACAGTGTAAAGTAAAAAGAAATTAATGGGAAAAAAGATAAGCATTTAAACATTTATCTAAACATTGTGTTTGAGAAAAATTCAGTGTAAAGTAAAAATAAATTAATGAGAAAATGTTTAAAGGAAAGGATAAGCATCTAAACATTTATGTAAACATCCGTGAGGGATGAATAAGCATTCACAGTTATTTAAACATTTAAATGAAGAAGCATTTCAATACTTGTTTAACATTCATGTAAACTGTAAGCAGGAGTCATTCTAATATTTAGAGATTCACTTTTAGTTCTCTTTAGCTAATAGCAAAGCTAACACTTAAGAATCTTTTTTTTAATTTTTTATTTAAATCAAAGAATCAATTACAAATAAGAAAATTTAAAAGCTATCAGAAAGCAACAAAAGCAACGATTAATTGGTCTTCATGGTTGGTAATGAAGACACAAGCAACAAGGGCATCACGCCCGCGGGTACCAAGGTAACACAAAATTCTTCGTCTTCTTCCAGTTTGGAGGAAACGCCAATCAATGTAGTTGACAAGAAACTACTAATAGGTAAATCCAACACAGCTCAGCTGAAGATACAGGACCTGGAACAGGTATTTGGTGAAACAATACGTTTAGAGGAGGGTGTAAACCGCTCTATTCGACTCATGAGTCGCAAGGTAAACCAAAATTCAACAGGGTTAACTAAATTAGCTGAGGAGGTTAATCAAGGGTTTTCCACTTTGGGTGACAAAATAAATAGTTGCGAGCAAAACATCACTGAATTATCTAAAAGAAAGGCTAGGTCTGCCTCCCCAACCAAAATTAGGGTTGGACAACAAACATTAATGCCTCTTATTATTCCAGAATTAAACATTTCGAATCTTAGTGAAAATAATGACAATAATTGGGCTGATGAATCACAGGTGGATGGACAAGTCAGACACCCACCCATGACAACTGATGAAGGATTGCACACTCTCAACATGCTTCACCACGAAGGTATCCCATCGCTTGAGGTATACTCTGATGATAATATTATATCATTTGATAAATGGGGAAAGAAGTTTTTAGAAAGGATTAAGGTCTTTGGAGTAAAACTTTCAGAAGAAGAAAAACTTGCTCGCTTGTCTTTATTTTTGGAGGACACACCCAAAAGAATCTTTGAAGAATTGTCTCCAACTCAAAAATTAACGTGTGAAATGGCACTTCAAAGCATAAGAAAGGAGTTGGACTCTCCTCAACGACGTGCTCTATCAAGGCAAGCGCTTTTAATGTGCCGACAACATGAAGGTGAGTCAGTCAAAGATTTCCTATCACGCTTTAGACCTCTGGCAATGGCTACAGCTGCTGATATTTCTGGTCCAAACAAGGAACGGTACTTATGTGAACTTTTATTAGAACGTTTAAGACCTAACATAGCATTTTGTATGAAATTACTAAACTTTTCACAGACAGATAGAGGTTTTGAACAATTATGCTTAGATCTTCGTGAAGTCGAAATCATGTTACCTGGAGGCACTGGATCAATGTTTGACATGCCAAGTCAAGAAGTGCATGCAATGCAACAATCAAATTCCTTTAATGTACCAGGGAAGTTCCAATCACTGAATCCGACTAATCCAAATAGGCAAAAGCTCGGTCAAAGGTGGGGACAAAGTCAAAATAGAAATGATTTTCAAAATAATCGAAATAATTTTGGAGAATTTAGGCAAAACAACCTTCGACGAGACATGAACTATCGTGACACAAGACAAATGCGAACACCAACCAATGATCGACGATGGAACAACAGACCTATTTGTAATTATTGCTCGAAAGTTGGTCACTTTGCAAATGTATGTCGCACCAGAATTGCAGACTTTCAAACACAACGTGGTCAAAGCCGAAGGGAACCAGATGTTGGTCCATCAAATATGTCAAATGATAGTGGTATGCTAAAAGAAATATTATCAACCCTAAGGAACATGCAGGTGGGAAGCTCTAAAAATAATGGGGCCTCACAAAATGTTAATCTCTTACATGGTGAAACAAAGCCAATAAATGACGAACCCGAAGAAAAGCAATTAAATGTTAAGAAGGAAAAACCCTCGATTGTCTCTTGGGAACCTTTCAAATTAAGTCCCAAACTACTTCCAATGGTAATTCTAGTATTAGCGCTAGCAGCACCGCTGCAGGCAATTGAAAGATTATCAATTCCACAGTACCCAATGATATGTCAAACTGAAAAACAGTCTACTTTATGGTCTCTTCCAGACATGACAGACTGTCCAATACCCTCTCCAAATATTTCTCATGTACCAATTTCACAAACGAGAAATGTCTATATGTTAAATGACTTAGAGTACACAACCCAAGGATGGGCCTGTAGGAAAATAAGAAAAACTCTTAGAAAATTTACAACTCTTTCTAATGTACCAATCAATGAACCTGTAGGCTCTGAAATTCTCCCAGTAGACGAAAATGAATGCATAAAAATGATTAAGAATAAAGAATGTAGTTTAGGTAAATTAACTGAAGAAAATGATCTTTGGACCACTGCAAATAAAATAGACTCAAGTCCGAAAATGTGGTTTATTGGATCGTTTTGGTGGACCGAGGTCCAATCCGAAAATTGTTTATTATTTAGTGTACAAATTAATTCCCATTGGGGTGAGGAAGGTATAGGAACCTCATTTGGGGAAAGTAATAATTGCTCCTATTCGAAGGGTCTTTGTGTATTAAGTGACAATACTGTACTAAAATGGGAACCCACAAAGGATAGAATGTGTCGATATATCAAGATTGGGACTTGGGAAGGAAAATTTTTAGATAACACCTGGTTGTCGGATGACGCACAATTAGCACTTCATTTCGCTAAACCAACTCCAAAATTTTGGGATTGCAGTAACATTCTAGAAATTTCCGAACAAGGACTAGCTACAGTCACTAGGCGTCGCTCTAAAAGAAGCGTCAGTCATCCAAAACTTAGTTTAGTAACATCACCCGAAATGGCAGCGAAGCTAACATATTTAGACAAAGAAATGGCTGACACTCTAACATTTACTTTCACGCACTCGCTTAAAACCTTTTGCCAAAATTTGGATCTAGTTAAGAAATGGGCACTTGCCGCGTATTTGTCAAACCCAACGGGCTTAGCTAGAATGATATTTGAAAATGACTATGTCACGGCAAAACGAGAAGGGTCATCACTACTACGTGTATGGCCATGCATACCAATCAAAAATGACGAATACTCATTCAAAGCTACTAATCTTAGCGAATGTTTCGACTTAATCCCAATTCAGTTCAAAGCAGAAAGTCGGGAACACTTAGCATTCCTTAATCCACTAACCATGACAATTGAACCCACAGCTCGAAAAGCACCCTGTTCAATATATGGGAAAATAATTGTAGAAATAAATCATGAGGTACTAGAAGTAAACCAGACCTCAGGAGAATTTAGAAAAATTCAACCTCGTCCAATCAATTTAAGGGAACTCAAATCCTACAGCATACCTGAAATAAAATCACACTCATTCCATCAATTAATGTTAGTAAATCTCACGGATCTCAAAACGCATACATTCATGAGTAACCTAGTCCGTGCAAGCGAAATTTCATATCGCATTGAACAAAAAGATATGCATATAGTAAAAACGCTCTCCGATCAATGGAAAGAGGCAGGAAATAGTCTCGTTACTGAAATTATTGGGGACTATACATGGATTTGGAAGGTTATAATATCAATTTTAATAGCCATATTAACTCTAGATTTAGTGATAAGATGGGGAATTAAAGCAGCAGAAAATTATTTAGGACAAGGACAGTTAGGAAATATGCTATTTGGTCAAAGTCGAAATATAATTAACAGAGCTAGACAGACAAGCATTAACAGAAACACAGAAGAGATTCCAATGGTAAAAGTTAACAAAAATCCTGAGTTTAAAAGAGACAAAACTCCAAGTGTAAGGTCACAAAAACGGAAAATGTCTTGGATCCCAAAGGTTTCAAAATTTCCTCAATCAGTGGAATATGAAGGTCACACAGTAAATGTCATGAGAGCAAATAAAATGTGTGATAAGAAGTTGTCGAAAGACATGGATGCCACGGCATCACAAAATTTTTCTATAAATACCCTACAGTCATGTCCCACAATTACCGGGGTGTTTATAAATAACAAAGCAGTAAAGTGTTTAATTGATACTGGAGCGAGCATATCGATTGCTCCCATCTCACTCGCAAGAACTTTAGGACTAAACCTAACACCAGCAACAATTAGTATAACTTCTGCCTCTGGGCATGAAATTAATGTACTAGCTCAAGCTGAAGTATTATTAGAAATGGCGGGAACTAAATTACCTGTAACTATAAGAGTGGTTGAAGACAATCAAATTACAGGAAATAGAACATACCAATTAATTATAGGATGTGACATTCTGAAAAGACTTCCCCCAATAACATTCGATTTTAATAAAGGAAAAATTAATTTTGAAAATAAATTTAATTATTCAGATAAAAATAAGTCAAAGTCAAAAAACATGCGTGTAGCAGCTATTGAAGCTAAAACAATTTTACCAGGAAAACACGGACTTGTTTCAGTGAAAATTAAAACTAATGGAGGAGAAAAATTGGCACTTGTACACTCACTGGACCAAAGGCTTGAGAAGGACCATCTTGCACTCATTGAGGCAGTGGTCACACCAAATGCAAAAGAAAACAAAATTCTGATTGCCAACCCAACAACTGAACCAAAGCACATATGTAAAGGAATGCACATTGCTCTGGCTGATGAGGTTTGGTCAATTAATGAACAGCCGTGGTTAACACAGGTAGAAATCATTAATGTCAATGAATATGTAAACACTGTAGAAGCAAATCCGACATTCAAGGTAGATTTTTCCAAAAGCTCAGTACAGGGGGAAGATAGACAAAAATTAGAAAAATTGTGTGAAGAATTTTCTGATGTATTTAGTAAAACACAATATGATCTAGGGTCATGTATAGCAGGTGAATATGACATTATTACCACAACTGAAGAACCTATAACATCTAGGCCACATAGAGTTCCATTTAAATACCGAGAAGAACTTCAGAAACACATTGAAGCACTTTTAAAATCTGGAGTAATGGTTAAATCAGACACTCCATGGGTATCGAACATAGTTCTAGTACAAAAGAAAGATGGAGGTTTAAGACCTTGCATTGATTTTAGGAAGCTTAACGAGGTAACAGTCCCAGACCACTTTCCTTTACCGCGATTAGAGTCAATAATGGAAAGAATAGGAAACTGCAACTATTATTCCTCATTAGATTTGTCAAGCGGTTACCTACAGATTAGATTAACAGAAAGAGCTTCTAGAAAATGTGGAGTAATAATGGAAGATGAGATATACCAAATGACACACATGCCTTTTGGGCTAAGGAACGCAACAAGCGCATTTGCGAGAGTAATGGCGCATGTAATAAGCGGATTAGATGAGTGTGTTCTAGCATATGTAGATGATTTCCTAGTCTTTACAAAATCTCCAGACTTTGATGAACATTTAAATGCATTAAGGCAGGTCTTTACCAGATTAAGAAAGTATTTTCTAAAAATAAGTCCCAAGAAATGCATATTTGCTTCAAGGGAAATGAATTTCTTAGGATACACAATAAATGCCAAAGGGTACACTCCCAGTATTGCTAAAGTTGAAACAATAAATAATTTACCTGCACCCACCACTGTCAAAGAAGTTAGGCAAGCTATAGGCATGGCATCATTTTTCAGAAAGCATATTCAAAACTTTTCGCTAATAGTTGAACCACTCACAAAGCTTACTAGGAAGGAAATCGAATTCCATTGGGGTGACGAACAACAGCAAGCATTTGATAAAATTAAGAAAATCCTAACTAGTCAACCAGTTCTTATATTTCCGGACTACGAAAAACCTTTCCACATATTTACCGATGCATCCCTGACAGGACAGGGAGGCGCTCTAATGCAAAAAGATATTGAAAATAATACATATAAAGCTATCGCGTACTGTAGCAGGACTCTAACAATTTCAGAACGAAAATGGGCACCCGTCCAAATCGAATTGGGCGCTATAATTTTCTCTCTAAGACAATTCAGACCTTTTATTTATATGGCTGAAATAGAACTGCACACAGATCATAAACCTCTTGCTTACCTACTAAAGAAAGCAGATGCAAGTCCAAACTTAGCACGCTGGCTCATAGAATTGCAAAATTACAATATTAAAATTGTACACATAGCTGGTAAAGAAAATCTACTCGCTGATGCACTTTCGCGATTGCAAAACCAGCCTGAAGTAGAGCAAACTGAACTAGAAGACATTGCAGAATTCCCAGTTTGTTTCACGCTCCCTATAAAAGATGGGCTTATTAATGAACATTATGCTTCAGTTTTAACACTTAGGAAAGAAAATGAAAATTATGCAATAGACATTAAGCAAGAACAAGAAAATGACATGGAAGCTGCAGACTATATTAAATTTATAAAAACCGGGGAACTCCCAGAAGACATATCACCCAATGATCAGGAGAAATTCGTATTAAATGCCGAAAATCTGAGAATTATAGGGGATATACTATGTCACAAACTTCCGAATTTAAAACTAAGAATATTCGTACCATCTTCACTCAGGGCTCTAATCTTTGACTCATTTCACTCCTCACAACTAGGGGGTGGACACATGAATCTGAAAAAGACACTCAAAAAGTGTAGAAAATATTATTGGCCAAGAATGCACGCTGACATTCTAACTTGGACACGAAATTGTATAACTTGCCAACTTAGGCACTCACCGAATCCCCCATATAGGGCAGAAATGCAAATGGTACCAGTTAATACACTGTTTGCTAAAGTTGGGTTAGATCTAGCAGGACCATTCCCACTAACACAAAATGGCAATAAACATGTAATGAATATAATTTGCTGGTTCACTAAATACGTTATTTCGGTACCAGTCCCTGACACTAAAGCAATGACTCTAGCAAGAGCATTTCTCAATAATTGCTATTTAAAATATGGTGGCTGCGTAGAACTAGTAACTGACAATGCCACAGCTTTTACAAGCGAATTCTTTAAGGACTTCTGCTCAATGTTATACATTAATAAAAGCTATGCCACACCACACTGGTCTCAAGGAAACTCAGTTACTGAAAGATCCTTTAGAACATTCCATAATATTCTCTCAAAGTATATAAGTAAGGATCAACCAGATTTTGATGAATTTTTAGACTGCGCATGCTTTTGTTATAACACTTCGATACACACGTCGACAGGTGAAACGCCATTCTTTCTCATGTTTGGTCGTGATCCTATCTTTTGCGTAGACCAAATACTAGACCCGTCAGTGTACAGTCCTGTTGCGTTTACAGACATTTCCGAATTTAAGCAAAGACTAATCACTTCACTTAGATGCGCCTGGGAGGCTGCCGATGAAGCAAATAAGCAAGCACAGTTAAGAGCAAAGACTCAATATGACAAATTAGTAAGAAATCCCACAGTCACAGTAGGAGATAGAGTATTACTTAGAAACTATGCAGGGAAAATAGGAACTTCCAAGAAATTTCATATGCCTTGGAAAGGAGTATTTAGAGTAGTAAAAATTGAAGGAGTACATGTCACAATAGTAAGTTGTAACTCACCTCAGGGTACACCCAGAAAAGTGCATATAAATCAACTAAAGAAGTGTTTTGAAGCACTAACACCCGCGTGTACAGTACCTGAATTATCGAGTGATGAAGAAAAAGCTCTGGCAAGAGCTGAAGAAAACGAAGGTATTGAAAATGAAAATATTTCCCAAGAAATCGAAACTCCCGATATACAGGAAAATCAAAACTCAAATACTGAAATAGTAGAAAAGAACACTTACAAGAAATATAATTTACGAGAAAATCCAAAAAAGAAAAAGTTTTCCTTTTAAAAAATAAAACTTATAGGGGTCATACATTCAAAACTCTTATTCTATTCATCTAATTTCACTTAATCAATCTTTTAACTTTCATTCTTTAACAAAATCATTTAAAACTATATCAATTAATTAATCTTTATTCGCGTATTTTATCTAACACTTAATTTTTTTACACAACCGCGTGTTTAACTCACATTTAAATTTTTTTTTCTCTCCCATTTTAGAATTTTTTTTTAAATTTTGTTTTAATTTTTAGTTATAAATGGACAATCAAAATGTTAGAAAACGTGGCCGCGGTCATTTCTATTTCAAATCTGAGAAAAATGAAACAACAACAACAAATAAAGCTGGTCTTTTGACCATGGAATCCACGGATTCAAAAAGCTTTACTAAAACGGCTGGTCTTTTGACCATGGAATCCACGGATTCAAAAACTCTAAATAAAACTGCTGGTCTGTTGACCATGGAATCCACGGATTCAAAAACAAATAAAACTGCTGGTCTTCTGACCATGGAACCCACGGGTTCACAAAAACCAAAATCAACCACACATACAAATGTGGAAGAAGAAAAAGCCTTCCAAAAGATCATGGAAGAAGCTGAAAAAGAAGAAAGACAAGAAATTTCTGAAAGTATGGAAAAGCTCATTCTTGAAGAAGATATGGAAATAAATGAAGAAGGTGAAGAAGAGCAAATGGAAGAAGGCGAAATAAACGAGTCTGAATGGGCACAATCGTCTTCCAATTGGGAAAACCCGAATAAAGAAGAATCATTTGCTAATAAGGCTTTTGAAAATCAAGAATGGCAAGAAGTAAAATCAAAATCTGCCAAGAAGAAAGAAGAAATTGAAGCCGAAGCCATAACTGCAAGTCGAAAGAAGAGATATGTGGTTTCTCAAGTGCAAGAGAAACGATCAATCGCAGTTATTCCAAACCCTGAAAAATTATCGATGTGGCCTTTTGCAATTGAAATTCCCGATGAACTAACAACCGATCTTGAACGTCCATTATTTCCAGGAGATTCAATATTTGTAAATAAATTTGCATGGATTGAAGGAAGAAGACAAGTTACTATTGACAACTGGTATAGGAAGGAAACAGGAATGCTAAGTTACCAAGCCACAGCATTAATGATTGATGTAACTCACTTTCCTTATTGGACTACCAAAACGGGAATTATTGTATATTTGAAGAAGAAAGAAGGCAAAGCAGCGTTAGCTCGTGTGACAGCATATGGAATGGAGAGATCTGGAATGCTATACGCAAAACAATGCAGACACGGTCTTGACTTATCAAAAACGCGACTTTCAGAATTTGTTAATCTAAAACTAGCTCCAATCCCAGCGGGATGGATGATAGGAACAAATTATATAGTTCCACCCGGAGGATCATATAGACTCGGAACAGAAATTATGGCCAAAGAAGGATCTCAAATCCTAGCCTGTGCTGAACCGTTCACTGAAAAATGGCGCTGGTTAACGAAGACAGGACTTCCGAAAGTATTTCCAATTGATAAAGATTATACGTTGAAGGAGATGAAGTTAGCTGAAGACATAATCGCAGCAGCTTTAATCACAGCAGCGGAAAATGAAGAAGTTGGTAGAATGGAAACCAGTTATTTCGGAGTAGTTAAACCAATTGAAGATGAAAAGAAGAGAACATTCACGATTAACCACATACACGAACAAAAAGCCCACATAGCTAAAGTACTCAGTATTTGGACAAAAGATACACCAGTAACTGCTAAAACTGGTTTTGAAAGGAAGGCATTTGCTAACGGTTATATAAAAGAAGTATTTAAATGTGATCGAGACGACGGTCTACTACAAATTGAAGTTAATATAATTCTAGTCCCAAATGAAGGTCTTTATGAACACGATGAAGACTTTGAAGCTATGGCACACGGGATGTTAACAATTATTCAAGTTGCCGAAACACCCGGCGGATACCGTGATCAAGCCGATACTTTTGGCCTACATACCCCAACTCAATTAATTAAAGAAGAAAAATCTCCACGAACTGAAATACTCAAGGCGCTATTCGGTCGTCCAGGGACGGACGATTCGGTGGTTGGAGGTGATATTCCGAAGGAATTAGAGTGTGTAAAAAGTTTAAATGAAGAACAGCAAAATACACTCTCTAATTGGCTGCATGAAGGAAGGGGGCGCCTACATTACCAGCAGGCGCCCCCAGGTACAGGAAAAACGCGCCTGGCAGCCGCATGTATAGCCGCAGCTCTGAAGAAGGACCCGAAAATTGCAGTCTTGGCCACGGCAAATTCAAACTTGCCTGTGAGCAAGTTGATCGATGAAAGTGCCCAAATCAATCTTGGCAGTGAGATGTTGGCATTCTTCGCCTCGACAGCACGCATCCGATATGGAGATCAAATACTGTTACTTAGAGAACACCAACTTGAAAATAAAATAAAAGGAGAATTTGTAGAGAAGTTAGAAGGTTCTGAGAAGAGAGACGTAACGGATGACCTGGCACACATCAAAGATAAACCACGACACACCAAAGAAAGGAAAGTAGGAGAAATTTATCTGGCTCGTGAGTTCAAAAATGCGATCTTTGGAACCATCTACATGTGTTTAGGAATTCCACGCGCTCATGTATCAACCACTCACCTCATAATCGACGAGGTTACTCAGACAAGCTTCTCCATGATGGTTCACCTCCTTTGCAAATTACCACTTGTCCGGTCTGTTCTCTTGACGGGGGACGTCCGTCAATTGGGCACGCATTTGAAAGAACTACCAGAAGTAATTCAAAGCGGTTACGGTCTTGAAAGCGTGACTGATCAAATGGAAAATTGCGAAAGAGTATCAGTCACCATTTTGGAACGATGTTACCGCTCGCATCCCATTATAACTGAATGCTTCAACTATTCCTCGTATGAAAAACACGACGAACAAGTAATCGCTGCAGTTCCCGCATCAAAGCGCACAGGATTGACAAAGCTTGGAATAAATCTTCCGGTGAATAACGTTCCACTCATACTTTTGAATATAAGAGGCACAATAGAGCAGGACAGCGCATCCTACTCACTTTCTTCACCTGAACAGACTGAGGCAGCTATTATAATTGCAAAAGCGCATTATTGGTGTTGCCATTATATGTCTATATATTGGTGTTGCCATTATATGTCTATACACGTACCAATGCGAAAAGATAAGAGAAAGACTCTACCAAGAAAATCTACAGGTATCTGTGAACTCTGTAGATGCGTTTCAAAGCCGCGAGCACCGTTTAATCATTCTTGTAACAACGAGCACTAAATCGCCTGGATCAGCAGCTCGCGCAGATGCCTCTGACTTTTTGAAGGATAGCAGACGCGCCACCGTAGCGTTGTCCAGGGCACAAAGTGGACTAATCATTATTGCCGATTTTGAAGCTATACGAGAAGGCGAGACGTGGAGAAGATTCATCACTGCGGCAAAACAACACACTCCCTTTGTTGACGAACGCTATTTGGAGGTTATGGAAAATGAAGAACCAACACGCGACTCGAATGGAATACTCAATGATTTAAAAGGAAGGTCAATTGAAGCTAAAGTAGAAGAAGTTAAACTAATACGTGGTGGTGAACTAAGAACAGGAAGAGGAAAAATGATTTGCAACAGATGTGGAAATCCCGGACACTTGGCAAGAGACTGTAGAAGAAGATGAGAGAAGAAGAAGATAGAAAATGGAGGCACAGACTTGGGGCACATGGTAAAGCTGTAAATTGTGGTGGGTTTGAAAATAAAATAAATGAAAAATAAAATTAAAATTTGGGAAATTAAGAAAAGACCAGGGGACGGTCTTCCCCGGGGTTGGAGGTGTAAGGCGTACTTTGATCCGGATGGGCAAGGATGGAGAAAAGGAACTTTAGTTCCTTTGGGAAAGGATTTAATAAGGGGAGGAGATTGACAGATAAGGCCTTAGGATAAAACTAAGTGGAAAATAGTGAAAAGGGGATCAGTCGACTGTTCACCAGTCAGTTGGAAAGTAATCAATAGAGAAGTGAATAAACCGGCCGAAGAAGCTGAGAGCTTATTCATTAATCCTGCAGAAGAAGCTTAAGAGCTTATTAATCAGCGCATATTATCCCGGGCAAGTCGGTCTCGTAACCGACCAGCATTATACAAGCGCATAGAAAGGCCTACCCTCCGCTCCGCAATATACTCATCGGCATCGCCTCTCGGGACCCTTAACATCGCACGCAACCCGCCCAACATCCCAACACCATCCTGGCCCAGCACAAGCTTTACTTTAACAACCTCGATTTCTAAAAATGATCGGTATGATATTGTATCGACATAACGATACAATATCGATACCGTGTGAACTCTAGTAATTAAATTAATCAGTAGGAAATAAAATGCCCAAGGAACCTATATAAATAAAAGTAGGATGTTAACTCACTCATGTAGATCAACACATTTTCCTGATGATTCTGCTTCTTTTAATAAATTAATATTTATTTTAATAGAATCCTCGATTATTGGCATTATCTTAAAAATTATTATTTTTAATTGAAAAATAGTCTTTTTACTCTTTTCAAATTAGAAATTGAAAATGCTGGATTAGCAATAGAACGAAGTCGTTTCCATCGCTTTGCTTTTGCGAAAAATAGATGAATAAATTTATTTGTATCTACATCACCAACAATAGGGCAAAGCTTTAAAAAATTATTTTATTTAAAACTATTTTTTATTTTCAATAAATTTCTTGTTTATAATTCCTAGAAGGCGTCCCAGGACGAGCTACATCTTATTATAATGGACGCCCTGTACTCGAAAATTTCATATCATGTTAAACTCACAGACTGAATGGGTTAACATATGTTTGTCTTAAGGCCAGACTTGGTAATGGACATGGATTTTGCGGACCGTAAATTACGGTGGATATATCCGCAGGTGATATATATACATCTTGATATTCTCTGTATCCATATCCTTATCCATTACAAAGTCAGATTAAGGCAGTAGTTTTACTTCATAAATTCTGCTGTATGAAAAAGTGAAAAATGAGAAAGTCAGTAATGTTTAAATCATTCTGTTCAGTTAGTGCTTTTTTCACACCCAAAAATCCGGGCCCTAATAATAATTATTAACCCAATTTGATTAGAGAGAATAAACCCAAATTTATATGATTTTTAAGGTAAAATTTTTAAAGATTTACAAATCTTCCATGAAAATATTCAAATTTTTCAATAAGTAATTCTTTAACCAATTTTGGTTCACTAACAACTAAAACATTAAGCCATCCATGTTTAATTCCATAAATTCTTCCATATTTTTTACTCCAATTAAATAATTGCAATAAAAGAGGATTTTTCTTTCCAAAAATTAAATCTATATTTCCTTTTATAGGAACAGGTTCTGGTCCTGGAATTCCTCTATTCTTCCAATAATTACTTTTCCTTTTTGCAGTCAAAAATAAGAACAGAGAAGATATTGTTATTAATAATAATATTAATAAAAACATTTTTTCTTATTAGAATAAAATATATTTAACTAAAAATAGGGGAAGAAATATAAATTCATCCTAAGAATAGGGGTGTCCGCTAATGAAAAAAAATTTCGCAGCCGCAGACCGCAATTTTTATTTTAAAATCCGCAGCCAAAATCCGTACGCAAGTCAAAGAAACCACGCAATTTGCGAAATCCGCAGTCCGCAATTCCAGACATCTCTGCCTGAAATACTATTAATATTTATCTTAAATTCTTTTTAAAATTAGAAGGTAGTTAAAAATTATTAATAAAAATATTAAAATAAGAAATAAATATAACAATCAATTTTTGTTTATTATATAACAAATTTGCTAGTTTATTGTTTGATTTATTGTTTAAGTTTATCTTAAATTATTAAAAAAGTATTTCAATTTGTTTAATTAAAATTTTTATTTCACCATTAATACATATTAATTTATACGACTTGTCTTTGCGGTCTTTCTTGTTGCGCCAATTTTCGCCTTTTTTAGACTTTTACCAATGGTAGTTTATAATATTAATTTCAAATGATTATTTAATAAACAATCATAAACTACAACCATTAATTGATAATTTATTAACATAAAAAGAATATCAATAAGCGTAAAAGGAAAAATAAAATAAAAAAATAAGACAAATGACTACATATGGGTTAATATATGAATTGTTTCGTAATCGAACTTTTTTTTCGTAATTTATAAATCGTAATCGTAATTTTTAAATTGTAATTTTTAAAAAAAAGTTCAGAATCGTAATTCGTCGCAACATTTTTTACTGAAGTTTATTTTTGGAAAAATTTCACTTATAGGAGGTTTTTAATGCGTGTATGGATATGGACGTATGAGGTTGGAAGAAAGGGGGGTCTTATAATATAGGCATAGACAGTAGAGCACCGTATTAGACCCGGGAAGACATTAGAGTACCGTAGAGGGGCCGGGGGTCATTAGAGTCAATGCGATAGAAGTTGTAGACGGCTAGTAGGAGTAGTTGAAGTCGTAGAAGGACCGTTGAAATGCAGGAAGGGGGAGGGTAATTAAGGTGGTGAACATTGTTGTTGGCTTTCAACAACAATAAAGTCGTTCAACATTTGGCTTTTATTCATGCAAAATTTCTATTTTAACGTCTTCTATCACTAAGCCGGAAACACAAGGACTTACAATTACGCAAAGCTTTTCACTGAAATTACATAGGTTATATTTTACATAATTTTAGAATTTGTTCAAAAAATTCAGAAATTTAAGGCTAGAAAATCATATTTAAATATTATTCGTTTCCTGTTTTGTTTGATTTTTATTTGTCTCCTTCCTTATTTTTAGTTGTTTTTTGTAACATGCAGTACAAATATATTGTTCGGGTTTTGAATGACGGTGCCATTGTGATGTTTTTGTTTCTCCGCAAATAGAACAATTTCGATCTTGTGTTATTCGCTATAAATTTATAAAATAGCGTGGAATTTTTGTTCTTAAATAAAATATATTTAATTATTCTAATTTTCGACTGACTGTATTCCATCAAGCGGCTCAAAAGTAATTTTTGGTTATATGGAAGTAAGATTTATAAAAGTAAACCTTTTTAGTTTTAAACCACATTTCTCTTGGTCTGAGCTTTCCATTTTTCCGTTTATATTCATAACAAGCATGACACAAAAAATATTCTGTTATATATTTATCCCACTTTTCACTTTGTTTAGCTCCGCAATTGAAACAATTTCGTAGAATTCCTTCATTAACTTCAACTATATATTAAATAATTAAGTGTAAAAATTTTTTAAGTCAGATAATGTTTGCACTAAAATGAAATTTTATTACCTATTTTAGTGCCAATATAAATAATTCTACTTTTTAATTCGTTCGGATATTCAACTTTTTGTTTTTCCAACAATTCAATTTTATATCCAATTAAATTAATTTCTGTCCAATAATTCGATAAAAGTTTGTATTGGTAATTTTCTATATTTTCTTTTAATAAATAATTATTTTCTTTAATTGAATTCAACTCGTTATTATTTTCTAAATTTTCGTCTAATATAGAAGTTTCATAATAATAATCCTTTTCAGAAAAATTTGTATATCGGAGTGCCTTAAATTATTTTTTGGCTCATAAACTTTCATGGTACTCATAAAACTTTCATGGACTCATAAACTCAGCCAGAGCTATTTTTAATTCAGTAATTTTTTGTAAATTGGAAAGTCAGGCAGTTCTGTATTCTTATATGACCATGTTTTGTCTTGACCAAAGAAATTTTCGGTTCAATTTTCGTTTGTAAATTTTATTTGGCGTATATGGGGATTTGGAGAGACTAAGGAGGTTGCATGTCCGATCTTTTTCTTACATATAAAAAATTTTGGGAGAGTGCTTCAAAAAGGATATGGTTGAATTTGAAGAAATTATAAGACTTGCAGTCAAATATTTTGTACTCAACCTCGAGAACATTTCTCAAGATTTACTGATGAATATTCAAGGTAGTTTTCTCTCGGTTTTTGTTTCTTTGAGAGCGTAATTTTATTTTCGCCTAGCTAAATTCTGACCGTTTAATTTCGTAAAAATCACCCGTTTTTCAAATCCTTGTAAAATTTTTTTAATAATTTTATTATTGTCAATTTCAATCACTATTTTCATCTTTAATAAATAATTTGGATGATATGTTACAACATTTAATTCAATATTATTATAAATATTCCTAGCAAGATCCAAGTCAACCAAACGTGTATATTTCTCAATATTGTAAATATAGCCAAAATATTTATTGTTGTGCTTTTCGATTGTTTTCACAACAAAACGCTCCTTCGGTTGAACATCTTTTAAATAAATAAATTCTCTTCTTTCTTCCCAATCATCTTTGATTTTTACATCAACTTCAATTGATTCTCCGTTACATTGAATATCCATTAAAATAATTAAATATAAATGAATTATCAAATAAAATTTTATCATCTGAAATTTTGTGTAATAAAGCGACTCAATTTCAGTTTATTTACGTTAAAAAAGAGCTTTTGGAGATCATTGGGTCTCAAAATAATCTTTAATTTTTAAAAATCATCTTTGATTTTCTCCCACAATATGTAAAAAATCTCTAGTTAAATCTGAGATGAGCTAACAAGGTTAAATGGGCTAAACTAGAGTTATTGAGTAATTGTATAGCTATTGAGTAGCTATTGTGCAGAGCTATTGAGTATTGAGCCGTTTATAGGTTCTTTGAAACTTTTTGCTAACTTCCATTAACAAGAGCGAGGATTTCTCTTACGACTTTTTAGAATGATCCCGGCCCAAAGGTACTCAAGCATAGTTTGCTAGTCAAAATTTTTTCTATTGTTATTCTGAAACACCGCAGGCTATACACGATTTAAAAATATAATAGAAATTTGGCATAATTTTTGAGTTAAATTTTGAATAGACATAATATTGAAAACCTTTTTTAAATCAGCTCAAATAATTAGAATAGTTTAATTATTGGCTAAGATCATATAATTAATTGTGTCTAATATTGAAGGTTTAATTACATGCTGAGGGCATAAGATCATTTTCATAATTACGATTGCGGTATGGGCAATTAAGATTTCAACCCAAATATTTCCAAACAGCGTGAAAGACATATTATAAGTAAAAATAAAAACAAATAAAAAATTGTATTGACTAATTATATTAACCGCGGTAATTGACAAAAAGTGCAAATTTTAAAAATGCCCTAAATGGCTAAATAAATTAAATAAAAATAAGCGGTAAATTATGAAATGTACCTATTTATGTTATTTTATTTTTTTCTCATCGACTGATTTATAAATTTGCACTTTGGTTAATATAATTAGTAAATAATATTTTGTAGTTTGTTTAGATTTGTACCCCCTTTTTTGTCTCTACGTCTAGTTTCCAAATACTAGGGTCAAAATCTTGATTGCCAATGTCAAAAATAGAAATTTAGAACAGTCTTATTACTTCTCATATAATGAAGATGTCAAAATGAGACTGTTTATTTTTAGTGTCTCAACAAACTTAATTAAACAAGGTTATTCAAATTATTCGAATATTACTATCTTTTGACATTTTGTTAGAACTCTATTTAAAAATAGTTTTATTTAAATTCTCTCGTTAAAATTTAGAGTTTTGTTAAAAGTTAATTTGTACAGACAAAAAGGTTTTGAAATTTAATTTATCTTTAAATTTGGTTTTCTTTGAGTGACATCCGCCGTTTTAATTATTTAAATTTGTTAGGTTGTGCGTTCTGTTACAAATACATAAATGTGTTATTCAGAACCAAATTTTAACAGGATAAGAATGTTAAAATCCCAGACCTTTAGAGGCTTGATCTCTTCAGTTTTATTCTCCTAGCAAAACGTATTTCAAATTTGGGTCACGGATCCCGCTCAGGGATGAGCGCAAGAGACAATCTCAAAAAACGCAAAGCAAGGCCAAAATTTAACGCAAATAACGCAAAACGCAAAACGCAAGAGCGCAAAAATAGGGGAAAAATTTCTTAAATCAAGTATTAGTCATTTTTCAGTTAAAAATTGAAGTATCACTTTAAGTCAGCGTGTCCTACTCGATTTTGTAATACATACATATAATTTTGATGGGTAATGATCTTGAGAGTTATCCTGGATACAAGGGATTATGAAGGATATCAGAGGATTTAGAAAAATCAAGGGGGTTTAACGAAGTAGCGGGGGATTACGGAGATTATCATGTAATTTCGAGGGATCAAGGAAATTTAAAAAGGATACAATGGGTTTATCGACGGATGTCGGGTGAGTTGGGGAGATTCCCGCTTACTATAGTACAGACAAGTAACCTAACAATTATGAAAAAATTGGAGTTGCTTGATAGATATGCTATAATAGAATTCCAGTTGCGAACACACGGTAGTGAAAAAAGGATAGATTACGCTCGAATCTTACTAGCGACTTAGAGTATTTCTAATAAAAATCTTCCAATTATTTCCATAAAATCGATGGAAATTTTATTTAGTAATTTTTCTCTTGTTTTCATTTAATTAAGGACTTTGATTAACGAATTACTATATTTTTAAACTAAAATTCAGATGATAAAATTGATTATTGCTTACTCCCTATATTTACTTACCCTCTTGAATATTATAAATATGATGGGAGAAAAGTTAGTATTGTTATAAAAATCAAAGATGAATGTTTTAATTTTACTCTATTTAACTATTTTGGCCAAACTTAGGTTTCTATTTTTCACACTTTTTATTTATATGGTTTAATTACCGAAGTTTAA